TTATGTTGCCAATAAAAAGCGAATACAATATTATAAAGTAAATTGTAAAGATGAATCAAAACGTTATAATTCAATTTAAGATTAATCGCCAATTGAGGCTCCTAAAATCAAAGTTCCTCTTTATCTTTTACCATAACAATGTCATTTTCTTCGCTCGCAACTGCATCTTGCATTATCATCCATTCTTTTCATTTTATTGACAAAAGTGGATAAAAATAACGGGATAAATAATAATGCATATTATAATAAAAACACCACAACCACAAAGAACATAAAAATGACGTAGTCATCACTATTACGGTAAAGTTTCTTGTCATCGTGAACGAACGAATACAAACTTCCCATAAATACATACGACGCACGTACACGCACGCACGCAATCACGCACCCCGTTACACGCAGACACGCACGCACAGAGAGGGAGAGAGAGAGAGAGAGAGACTTACACAACAGAAAGCAAGAAACGCACATAAATACATACACGACGTAGTATACACGTACGACATTCATTACGGTCATTAACGAACTAACTGCTTGTGATTGAAATTGTAAAACTTAGCGGCCGAAGCACGTCGGTCCATGCTTGGAGGAATGTTCTCGTTCATGAAGAAAACGTCGCGCGTGAGACACAACCCGGAATCGGAGGGCATTTATTTGAGTGATCTGAATGCGGACGAGCTGGATCCGGAGGTCGCGGCTCTGTATTTCCCCTCGTCCCATCGTAATCCGGGAGGTAACGCGACTAAAGGTATCACAACTTTCCCATTGCTTTGGAATTTCAAGCAACTAGACTATTAATCTGCATTAAAATACATTTTTGTTTTTTATTTTATTACTTTTGTTGTCCCGTAAATTCAGGCTTTTCTCGCGCTCGTCATAGCTTATCATTCATGTCTTCATTTTGCAAGGATGTTTGTTGCTTGAATTGTAGTTATCTTGAGCTTTTAGTTGCTTATATGCATTTATAATCTTTTCTCATACTGATTCCATATTACACTGTTTGTTATAACTTTTTTTTTATTCAATTTATACCATATGTAAACATTAAAGCATTAATTTCTGTTTGTACGCGAATTCGTATGAAATTCAAGCAGCGTATGTGCCGAATTAATATTATGTGAATAAAACTAATGTAATCGAGCATTTACAGCCAACAAAATATTTTATTAATAATTTTCTTATTTTCTTTGCATTAAGATCTCATTGAAACAGCTAAGGGTTGAAAACTTGCTATCCTTCTGTGTGTATCTAACGATACATATACGTATATATATATATATATATATATATATATAGTCAAGTATATGTAGTACATTGAAATCGTATTATACAAAAAAATACAAATTTAACAGATAATTATCAAATAAGTTACAAATTTTTCATAATTGTTAAATATACTGTTCCAATCAATGGTACGAGCAATTTATATTTTTATCGTAAAACCATTTAGATTGTTTTGTTAAAGGTACTTGATTAAATATTATTTATTCATGATATATAATTAAATAAATAATTAAGATTTGAGAGTGTAGCTTAAAAAATTAATTGTTTGTAAATTGATCGAGCGTGTCATTGATTGATATCGTATAAAATTCGTAATTCTCTTTGAGCATAACGATCATTATTTTTCACTTTATGCCTGTAATCTTTTTCACTTTTTATCGTAAAACCAATTTATATTAAAATTTCACTTCCATCTATTTGTGCTAGTAGCAGTTGTTGAATAAATTTCATTGCCACTCGTCGTACTTATTTCACACCGAATTGTGTCGATGGTTCATCTCGGTCTTATCTAAGCTTTTATCGCTTTGTAATTTAACTATGTTTTTTTTTTTTAATCCCAAGCTTGTGTTAAATGGTGCTATGTGATCCTATAAAACGGCGATTGCTCTCGCGAAATGTCCGAATGAAAGGACGCATATTTCATTAGAGACTATGTAACTCATTGTTTCGAGAGCTAAAAAAACGGGCTTAAAAACATTTAATTTTTATGGAAAAGCGCGTTGATGACGATCGAAGCGCTATGAATTGGCTGGGAAAGCCACGCGTGGCCTGCCACCTCTAAATCCTAGATCTCGGATGTTGCGACAGGTGGTAAGACGGGCGACGAGGAAGACGCGGAATCGGGCAACGGACCCTCGCTCCCCCAGAGTCCGAACAGCGTGGAGGGGGCGATAGGCGGTCCCAAGTCCCTCGACAGCGACTTCGACGAGTCGACGACGAAGCACCTGGAGCCGAGTATCGAGGTCGCGCTGTCGCTCTGCGGTGGCCTCGGGACTGGTGAGCACGAGCTCACGGAGGAAGCTTTCCAGCGCGGTGTGTTGCGCTACGAGGACGCCTGCGCCGATCCCAAGATCTTCGAGAATCCGAATCTCGTTGTCAAGGTCAACGGCAAGTTCCACAGTTGGTCGACCGCATGCGCCATCGTGATGACCTTCGCCGCGTTCCAGAGGCACCTGCCTCGGGCCACGCTCTCGAGCCTCTATGACGGGGGCAAGAGACCGAGCGACTCCAAGGCCACCGAGACTGGCGCCACCGGCGGTGGCTACAGTTCCTGGTTCTCCTGGAGACGCTCGAGCCAGCCACCGAAGAAGTCCCCGAACTCGAGTTTTGGCAAAAGTGAGTGGAGGCTTTATCTTTACAATCGGGTGCAATTTCTCTTCCACCCGACGATTCGCTGAATCGACACTGCATCAGCAAACTCAATTTGCCTATCGGTCCAATAATCATTTAATTAGATGATCAAAGCCCATTTGCGCGAATCCATTGGATAGCAAAATGCAAGCCACCTGCAAACCAAGAAAGTCCAAACATCATTTATTATGCACATGTAATTGTTATGTTCGTCTCATCGCTATTGTCGTTACTTCCGTCAATTATAGAATTCGATATAATATGACCCGACCATAATATGACCCAACCTTACTTATCGACCATTATTAATGTCCTCCACTTACAGATGACGAAATCTTAGCTGAAACGCCAAGTGAATTGAACGACAGTGAACCGCTTATTTGTAAAGATAACGTTCCGGATAATAAGACTACCGTAGATATTAGGTAAGTTATGATGATATTTGATTGTAGTTTTAAGAAATGTAGCTTTTTCGCTTACCGTCAACGTCATGAAATTGTCTTTAAAATTATTAACAATAAATGTCAGTAAATCACGAGGCGAATAAATTACGGTCGTAATAACGTGCGACGACTTATAACCTGGGAGTGGAGTTCCGTACCTAATTTGGTCCCTCGCGTTTGCATTCCAGCGACGAGAACAGAAACGTTAACGACGAGCGCATCATCGACATGACAAACAGCTTGGAGAGCTTAACTACCAGCCAATCGCTCGTGAATTTTAGCGACGCGATCGAGGACAAGCTCGAGCTTGCATTGCACGACCTCCCAAAGGACTTGGACCCCGAGAACCTAAGTGCTGGAAACGTGGACTTCCCGGAGGTGCAGCGCAGTCGCACCGGTATCGACATACCCCTAAGCCCCAAGAAACTGAGCGCGATCACTCCTCCAGCTCCCGTACCCAAGAGACTCCATTACGAGGGCAGCACTCAAAATTACCGGAAGACTCTGAGGCTCACCTCCGAGCAAATCGTGAGTCAATCCCTACTATCACCAATACCTTAAACTATTTAAACTTAAACTCGTATGTGTAAGCGTGTAAGCGCCTGGGGTCCAAGGTCACCAAGGCACGGCCTTTATAATTCGGCGATTTTTTTTTTTTATCCACCTTAGCTCCCCAAGCCCATTAGTGGCACGTTAAGATAGCGCGAGGATTTTTCCTTTAAAAAAAAAACAGCATGAGCTTGGTAATGGATAAGAGAAAGAATTTTCGTTCGTTTTATTGTGCGCAGGCGAGCTTGAACTTGAAGGAAGGCGTGAACGAAGTGGTCTTCAGCGTGACAACGGCTTATCAGGGCACAACCCGGTGCAAATGCTTCATTTACAAATGGCGCTGGGACGACAAGATCGTCATCTCCGACATCGACGGTACGATCACCAAGTCTGACGTGCTCGGGCACATACTTCCCATCGTCGGGAAGGATTGGGCCCAGTCGGGTGTCGCGCAGCTTTTCACGAAAATCAAAAACAACGGCTATAAGCTACTGTACTTGTCAGCGAGGGCGATTGGACAAGCGAGGGTCACCCGGGAATACCTGAAGAGCATCAAGCAGGGCGATTTGTCCTTACCCGATGGCCCGCTTCTCCTAAATCCGACCAGCTTGATCTCCGCCTTTCACAGAGAAGTTATCGAGAAGAAGCCCGAGGAATTTAAGATCTCTTGCTTGAGCGATATCAAGGCACTGTTCGCCGAGGGCTCGCAGCCGTTTTACGCCGGTTACGGCAACCGTATAAACGTAAGAGCCTCTCTGTCTCTGTCTGTCTCTCTCTCTCTCTCTCTCTCTCTCTCTCTCTATATATATATATATATAGAGAGAGAGAGAGAGAGAGAGAGAGAGAGAGAGAGAGATCGTGATAAAAGCTCGCTTCGAGTTTAAAAATTAAACAGCCCGCGCGTTATAGTTGACTTTCACACGATAATCACCTAATATTTTCCTTCCCAGGATGTTTGGGCTTACAGAGCAGTCGGGATTCCAACGACTCGAATCTTCACGATTAATCATCGCGGGGAGCTAAAGCACGAATTGACTCAAACCTTCCAATCTTCGTAAGTAAATTGGCATCATTTTCATAACCGCTAATGGAATAATTCAGCGATTCTCATTTTTATAATAATATCAACCTCTTTAACCATCCAATGTTATTTAATAATCTTTAATCGTTGCAAAGACGTACCGTTTTTCTTTTACATTTTTTTCTTTCAATCGCAATTTAGATGTTTTCAAGCGCTGTTTTGATCAACGTTTATAGCTCTCACATTTTCGTTGACCGAAATTTTGATAAGTTGCCGCTTGATAAACGACCGTTTTTGCTTATATGATTACAGCTACTTTTCTCAGAGTAATATCGTGGACGACTTGTTCCCACCGCTGCCAAATCAACCACAATCTTATCCAACACCGTTGAGCCCATGACCGTATGTTAGAGTTCCCAGAATGAATCGTAAAATTCTTTAACTTTCGCCGATTATCATGTCTTTCCTCATCTTCTGCAGTATAAACGGCCAAACTCGATAATTTACAATCGTCTCCTCCCAATGTTATATCGAATATTTCAATCAGACTAACGATAAAAATTATAATTTTTGTTAAGCCAGCTCGTTTAATTTATCCTAGAAGCTTGTCGATTATTTAGACTTACAAGCGACAATCGACGAGATCATTAAAAATTGCTTTTACAAAAGTGTGTGTGTGTGTGTATGTGTGTGTGTGTGTGTGTTTTCGTTACAAAATAATACGACTCAGGAAGAGCTAAAATTTCCAAGTATCGTTCTAGCTTTTATTAATACGCATTATCTTACTTAATTAACGGTCGAATGTACTGCATAAACAAGACATGGATAATTATAAGCCTATTGATGAATCTATAAAATATTTTAACAAATCATAAATAATTTATGATTACGAACACGCAGTTGCTTTTTGTCTGTGCGCTATGATTTTTTTTTCTTTTTCTAGGTTTTTGCATCAGCTGTGTGCTGCTTGATATTGCATTAAAAAACAAAACTTTCTCTTCAATCTCTTTGAATAACCGAGTTTACAGTTAAGACAGCTAGCTTACGAGTAGTGATAGATTCTTCTAAACAATCTCATTTATCATCATTTAACAAAATGAGTTCAATTCAATACTAATGCGCTTTGTTACATAATTCTGCTCCTTTATAAAAAAAAAAAAAAAAAAAAAAAAAAAAAAAAAAAAAACTTCAATACTCACATAATCGGTACATTATCTCAAGTTTTCCAGGTTCGTTAGAGAAGCACACTTTGGCAAATGCACAAGTAGTAAACTTAATTATTTTTCGTTGAAATTTCATCTCACTAATGATTAATATCATTAAAACTTAAAAAAAAAACTTAATTAATATACCGCGTTAAAAGCAATATATTGCGAATGAACATATTGTTAAAATTAAAAATATCAATTCAATAATTCAAATTCTTAAAAAAAAAAAAATATTTTCTATATTCCTTGTGATAATATCATTAATTTTAAAGAGTTTTTTGGTACTTTATTTTTCATAATGATTATATAAAAAGAATTGTGAATTTTCGCTGATAGTTTTTTCTATTCCCAGCCGATTCGGATTATTTTAATAATCGTATCCAATTAAGTAGCTATTTAAATTTATGCGCATTGCTGTGTCTCGTTAGAGTATACCTTACTCAACCTATACCTTTAGTACTGTAAATATTTCAATTTTTAAATTGTAATTATTGGAATAACATCCTCGAGTCTATTGACGATGTAAAAACGTTTTAATAGTGATATCGATTATATAACGATAACTAAAGAAATGTTTTATAAAATTCATTATAAACAAGTATCAATGTTAATAAAATTGCTATTACTATTCTATCAAGTCATTAATTTAGGTTTTTAAGTTTTTTTTAAATTTTAGGTAATTTAAAATTTTGTATCTTATTTTTAAGTTTAACGCGTGATTTAAATGGAAAATTATAAAAGGGATTCGACTTTAATTATGTTATTATCGAATGAGATAACATTTTTTTTTTCTTTTCTTTTTGTAAATAAACTATATAATTTATTTCACACATAGATTAAACGTGTCTTAAACAATATTAATTCGCAATAACAAAAAAACAAAAACGAAAAAAAAAAAACGATAAAAAAAGGAATAATCGATTAATATATTTTTCGTTGGAATTAGCCTTAACTAAACATTGATTTATTTGGCTAAATAAAGTCGTAAAGTGTACCTATGAAATTTATTTCATATAAATACTTTCACAACTCTTCATCGACTGGCAACGTAAAAGCTTTGGCAAAGAGGTATAACAAACCTGGTTAACCATCACGAAATAAAAATTTGCTTAAATAAACTTGCGCAACAATCCCAAAATTACGCTCTTGATTAAATAAGTTATTATTATTTTTTTTTTCAGATACTCAAATATGAGTTATATTGTTGATCATATGTTCCCGGCACTTCGTGAAGACGCAGCCGACGAATTTAGCAACTTCGCTTATTGGCGCGAACCCATTCAGGAATTGCCGAAACTGGAAACGCTCGATGTGCAAAATTAAGTCAATGACGATAATTGATAATATATGTGTTACCCCGACTTTTGTACTTCAAATAATATAACGTAGCTTTATAAGGTTCAATTGCACATGTAGGGCAACACGAAAAGCGATTTTTCAAGAATATTGCGAACGGCAAGTCAGGAGAAACTCCTTAGATTCTTTGAATTATTTCAAATTATTAAAAAGTATAATGATATACATGTATAATATCTCACAAATTTATTCCAATCGTAATAAATCAAGTAGTCTTAGATAAGTAGATAGATGCAAAAAAATAATCGGAAACTAGCCAAGAGCAAAATGATGTTTTTACTTTTTCAATTGATTTTTCCCGCTGTTTCCGCTTCTTTTTTATTTTTGCAATCGTTCACGTGATAATAACACTAAGTATTACCAGTAAATAGAAATAACCACGATCGACGCATGTCTGTGAAACAGTTAATGATATTTTGTTCATGTAAGTGACGATTGAAAGATTCTAGTCCTGGTCAGTGATTCGCTAATTGACTTATGTGTAAATGTTTCGTATTTGATATATAGATAATGTGCGTCATGTTTCAGTGATTAATCCGTTTATTAAGCTTATCAAAAAGTAATAAACATGAAAAAAGAAATATACAAAAAAATAAAATAAATGATATGACGATGGTGTTGAGCTTGATTGAATTAAGATTTTGATACAATAATAAGCAAAATGAGTTAGCTATGTTATAAATACCGTGAATTCAACAATAACAAGATAAATGACTATCAATAGTCTCTCTTAGATTTTATGATTATTTTCTCTCTCTCTCTCTCTCTCTCTCTCTCTCGCGCGCGCGCGGTAGCATTCCAAAATGTCTGTTTCTTGGGACAAGGATAAATAGTAAGCTTCGATGAAATGTTATATTTTTATTAGTTTTAAGTAGATGAATATGTATATGTATTTAAATTTCCTGTCGTTATTGCTCTTGTATACTCGTGTATTACTGTACATTAAGATGAAAATTTAAATCGTACGAAATTATTTGTTCGATTATCGTTGTTTTCGTTTCTGTACCACGTCGTTAGTATATATAAAAGTATATCATTTACCAATTTTTAGCAAACATTTTTTTTTCTTTTTTATATAATACTTTTGTTTTACTCTTTGTTGCACAATTTTCTCAATGTTATATTTTTATTAAGAAAACAAAAACAAAACAACAACAAAAAAATATTAATATAACAAAAAATCACCATCTTGTATACATTCGCATTAATGCTGTATTTTTAATTCAACGTATATTCAACTCTATTTTCAAAAATCAACTTAAAATTCTCATAATTCATTAATAATTATGTAAGTAGAGTTATGCTATTATATATTATGTCGTTATTTAAAAGATAATTTATTAACCGAACTTTGTAAATCTTCATCAAATTGATGAAGTATGAGCGGTAATTTCTGATTACAAGCTCCCATCATTTTTTCTTTAAGCTATAAGAAATTTCAATAAATTACAAAATAACTAAGTGTTGTACCAAAGAAAACTTGTCGAGAATCAAATAAATTTAGATTATTAAATAAGATAAAAATAACACAAAATAAACAAAACAAAAAAAAAAAAAAAAAGAAATTCAGTGTAGCACTGTAACGATCGATCAAGAGCTTAATCCAAAAAATTATACTATGTGCTTTATTAAAATCGAAAAGTCGCTGCTTTAAAATGGAAGATAATAACATTTTTTGGATATTTCAGTTACCTCGACACAGTGCTCGATTAGTACCTAGTTGTTTTATGTCGTTAACCAACCATAAGCGTACCCATGAGAATCTGTGCAAGTTTAAGAAAAAATTCGTTCCTAGAATTTCTATAGTCTAACTAAGTACTCCACCGTCATGTAAATTTCAAATTATGTACAATAGGAATTTCTTATACAGTCGAATGTTTTTCTTTTGAAGAAGAGACAATTTTGTTATTGTTTAGTTATATTATTTCTTTTTCTTTTTTTACAATTTTCAATATTCTTTTTTTACAAATAAAAGAAATTCAGTTCCTATACAAGTTTTATTTTATTTTATAAACCTTAGTTAAGTCATCCATATGACTATGTACGTTCACTTTAAGGCATTCCATAAGATCATGAGCATACTTTTGTACAATATTTTTATAACTCCTTATAAAATAGTTCTTAACGTCTATTCTTCCATTATGTTTTCTTCATTTTCTTTCGTTTCATTATTTTCAGCAATATTTTCATAGCCTGTAGTTTTTGTAAAGACTCCTAGGGGAGTCAGCTTGAATTTGGCCAAGGAATGTCCCAAAAGTTTCTAAATACAAACACATATTATTATTGCTTTATAAGGATATTGCAATAGAAACGAGTAACAATTAATAGGACCGTTAAGTTTTTGGGCGTTCTTCATGATCAAATACATTTAAGATTACAATTTCTTTTAAATCAAACATATAATATAAATATTCGACGGATAAAAAATATTAAATAACATAGAATATGTGTAACGTAAGTATTACATCTTTAATGGTTAAATGAAATTGAAATAAAATATCATTAAAAATCAGGTTAAACGATGTCATTGCAAAAAGTAAAAAAGGATAACTGCGCCGCAACACTTTCAATTAACAAAAATATTTAACTAGCAGTTTATTATGAAACCACTGTACTTATGAAATAAATATGTGAAATATAAACCGAGTTGCTTTAAGGTACTTTGTTTTCAATAATGCGCATCTCTGGAGAATTTCATGATTGACATTCTATTGTTTCTTTGCTTCTATCATTTTTTTTTTAATTTAAAGAACCAATAGCATATATATAGTATATATAATTATTTATAATTATGGAATACACTTACAAGTATGCTGGCCTGCTCGGGCGTTAAGGTCTGCCCATTCGCGCAAATGGTATAATCCTTTACAAGGGTTACCACTCCCTTCTGCAATGACGTAGGCATACCTAATTGTCTTAAATGCGGTTCTATACTGTGTGGAAAGTCCTCCAATGGTCCAGCGGGCAACTCTATCGTTACAGACGTGCGAAACCCTGAACGTGCATAATCGGTTTGCTCGTAATCTCTCATCCACTTTAATACCTAAAATTTCGTATGGCTACTATAATTACATTTTCTTTAATACGCGACTAACTTATATTACAAATCCTTAATAAAACTACGTCAATTGGTAGTGGACACGACAGTCGTACATTTGTCTGATTTTCATTTGTGAAAAACAAGCCACATTGTCCTGATAATTTTGACGCAAGTTTTGATATACCATCCGCAATCTCCGTTTCAGCGCTTTTGCCTAAAGCCAGGGCAATAATTTTATTTTTGCCAAAGAAAAATCTACTGCCCGTCCATTTGCCTCGAATTTCTTTCAGCGTATTATTTCGCATATTATGTACAGAGAATAAGACGATGGTGCTATATTTTTCCACGCACGTCCTAACATCTTCAATTATGTGCTGCTTCAACGTCAAACCCTTTTTACTGGTTTTCGTAAGTGAAACTGTAAACAACAAACAGTTGTATTAAATGCAAGTGACATTAACCTCAAGTCTTGGATAAATACAGTTACGAGCGTACAGCGGTAGCTTAACAAAATCGTAAAACTTACTTTTCTTATCCCTCTTTGATTTCGGCATTCTCAATAGTTCTATTCGTCAATTAAATACCAATATATATTATTTAATAACCTTATGTAATTAGCGTAGTAAACGCATCGGCATAAATAAATGGCTTCACCACGTGTTGGACGTCATTGAATAGCCAAAGTCGTGTCTGCCGAGGGGAAGGCTTGGGGTTAGGTTACGTTGGATTTAAGTTTGAATAATGGCGGCGAAATGTAGACGGTAGTCGACGTACGGAGGAGATTATCGCCGATCGTACCTGAGAAATCCATTCTTTCTAATTATGTCTTGCAAAGATATTTAAACATTAGAGATAAATCCATAGCTTTCATTTTTATATCGTATATATATGAAATTTCAGGAAGGCCACTCGCTACTCAATATAATGATAACTCAATAAATTTCAAATTATTAAATTAAATTAATAAAGTAAAATACACATTTAATATACGTACGAGTACGGGCTTTAAGCAATCATTATAATTACGCACGAGAGAGCTTTATAATCCTTTGTTATCATTAAACTTCACTTAAATAAGTGTCTTCAATAAGTGTCTATCACCCGTCCGTCCACATCGACGATGTCCATGTCGAAGTGCTCGTTACGTGCAATGTCCGATAGTGAATTAGAGACGTTGCAACTCTCTTTAAAAAATAAAAAAAAAACAAATGAGGGGTGGGGGTGGGGGTGGGGGTGGGGGGTGGGGGGGGGGGTGGGGGGGGAGGGGAGGGGAGGGACGATATCATTATCTTTCACCAGACGCTTGTTAGTCAACTGGTATCGTGACTTCACGAGTTTACAATTCGAGCGGTCGAATGCGAGCGAAATAAGCGCACCGATTTCCTGTTCATTTATCGAGCGCAGCAACTATTTTTGCTTGTTTGTTTGCTTGTTTTTGTTTTTGTTTTTTGTTTGTTTTTTGTTTTTGTTTATTTGCTTGTTTGTTTCGAAAAGACGATGGATGTGATCAATGAGTTTGGCAGAGACTGGAGGCCTGGAGCTTCCGAGGTGCGGCGCCCTCCCAACGATCGGCAGTTCTCCGCTGCAATCGCCTAAAGTGACGAAAACGTGTTTTGGCGGGCGGCCTGTGAAACGAAACACACAGGCCACCACCGTTGACGGCATTCACGGCTGTGGAAAAGAAAAGAGCGCGAATCAGCGCGACTCGCGCTAAACGTCATCCGCCGGGCCAACTAACTTCCGAGGTCGACCGACGACGTGACGCAATAGGCCCAGTGTAATCGCCAACCCCATAGCTAGCCAGGAGCCGCCCGCGTACTATGAAAAGGCTCTCCGAGGATCCGCTCGCACCGCCCCCGCAGGTGAGCAATGATGCCCAACGGGGCTGGGGGCCCCGTGTCGCCCGACAAAGCAAAATAAAGATGATCGCGCTAGCGCAGCCCCGTGTGTCGGGCCGGGGGACGATGGAGGCCGGGCTCTCGCCGACGGGCTCGATGAAGCTCCGGAGGACTCGCGCGGCTGAACAGCAGAAGCCGAGGCCGAGGCAGCCCTGCGCCGAGCGCCAACAGTCATGCTTACCCAGGAGGCAGCGGCAGCGATGCGTCTGCCTGCCCGGGAACTACGCGCCCGCTCAGTTCCCGGCCGTCTGGTCGGAGCTTAGGTTTGTGTTGTCTCGATGTTCATCTAACCATCCCCTGCGATCCCAACCCCACATCGTACCTCGCGATACCGCGATACCGCGATACCGCGATACCGCCATACCGCCCCTACGTCCTCTCGTCCAAGGAGGTTAGGTCGCGAACTATTAGTCGGACAGGTTGACTTTGGGGCCAAGTCTAACGCACCCTCACCTTTTGCACCGATTGAATTCCGTTCGCATAACGCGGACGTAATTTAGTCGAGCAGCTATTTGATTAGGAAAGATCGCCACTTACTTTCAAGTGCGAGGCGATACAAACAAAAAAAGCAAAAAAGAAAGAAAGAATAATTATAAAATGTGATAATAACCGAAATGAAAGAGGAAAAAAAGAAAGGTGGTGGTGGTGAAGGGGGGGGGGGACAAGTACGAGTTGTTGACCAATTGATATTGGAATGGGGTTCCTAGCATAAGTAAACTCGGTTCAACTTAGTTGCTTAAGTCTTAAGTAGTGGCTCGGCTGTCGGCCATTTTGGGCAATAAGCGAACGAGCGAGTTTATCTCGACGTAGCGGGACTCTCGTTCGGCAAAACCCACCACGTAGCGTCCGCTGCTTCCAACTCCTAATGTCCTGCGATCGCGATTAAGGTCAACGCAGCAGCTCTGCGATGGCTCGATACGGTGCAGCTCCGAGCGGATCTTCCCGGTACATCGGGCCATACTCTCCGCAGCGAGTCCCTACTTCAAAGCTCTGTTCACGAGCTGCCTGAACCCCGGCGCCAAGACCGAGCTCGTGATACCCGACGCCCCGGCCGACGTCTTCTCGCTCATACTGGACTACGCCTACACGGGCTCTTGCCGCGTCAACGCCGAGAACGTGGAGCGCCTCCTGCCCCTCGCCGACCGCTTCCAGGTGCTTGGTCTCGTCCAACTCTGCTGTCAGTTTCTGCTCGGCGAGCTCAAACCCGACAATTGCTTGGGTATGACATTCGGATAAGCGATATCTGCCTCGAGACGGCAACTTTGAGACTTTTGGGAAATTGAGCTGCGAGCTTATGAGTATGGGATGGAGCGTTAATTTTCGAGATTTCATCCTACGAACTTTAACCAACGAATGCTTGGCGGCTACGCTATTTTCCGTCATAATCTCTGCTGTCAAACGCTACGATAATCGACAGAATTATCGACGCGATTGACAATTAAATGCCCAAGCTTTCGAATTCCTTCGATGCTCCTTTATCATTGCTTCTCCATCCACGAACTCACGCTCCCTCGATTCTCCTATGATAATTTTCTTATATCCGTGTCGTCGATATTGTCGTGATATTTTATCGCAGCGGATAATCCTTAATCATTGGAAGCTTTTTTGCTATCGAGATCCCGTGGACCTGGACTGGGTAAATAATAATATCTCGTCACGATAATTACTAATGGTAATAAAAATGGAAAATTTCATTCGCATCGAGTCCTCAGCGTCTGGGTCTCGCGACGCAAATAAGCTTCGAGACGTCGATCTCATTTTCCTCATTATTTCTCTCACACCTCATGCTCGCGAATACCCTCAAATTTCCTCGATAGGCATTTACAAGTTCGCTCGGCACTACTTCTGCCGTGATCTGGAAGA